TTTGTAAAATGAAAATTCCTGTATGTTAGTCGGAGCATGCTGAACATAATCTAAAGTGCCCTCGGTGACTCAGGGTCACCCCTGTACGACCCTGTCACCAACTCCGCGACGTTTCCCTCTGAGATGCTGTGCTGCAGATTCTTCCCCTGCTCCTCACAGTCCCGTGTCCTCCCTCGCTGCTACTGTCAAACAACAGCAATCACAGAAACAGGAACACGAATGACGCTCCAGCACTGTGCCACGCAGTCTTGTGTTTTAGCTCATTTCATTCTCAAAGACAGATCCTCTAATTACCCTCAATGCGCAGCTCGGAGAGCCGGCTCCTGGGTCAGGCGCCTTGCCCAGGGCCGAGCACGGTAAACCACGGCGCTGCCCTCGGAACCAGTGCACTGGCCCCGAAGCCTGGGCTCCTAATCCCGTGCATCACTTCTAAGACCCTATTTCTAAAAGTCCTTCTCTCACTTCTAATTTGCTTCCTAAAATTTGTCACAGGATAAGAAACAACCAAGCTTATTAGAATCTGTGCAAAAGAATAATAAATAGGAGATGGGATAGGAGGACTGGGGGGATGACAGCTAAGAGGTACGGGTTTCTTTCGGGGATGATCAAACGTTCTAAAAAGGATCGGAGCTACGGTGGCACAACTGTGCAGATGCAGTAACAATGTTGACTTGTACATTTTACATGGGTGACTAGGCAGTCGTGTGAGTTCTGTCTCAATAAAGCTGTTTTAAAAGAAGAAGAAAGAGGAGAGGCAGGACAGCACTAATGTGCATTTTGGCTACTCAGATAATTTTCATGTTGTCAGTGTTGGCTAAGTTCCAACTACGTCCTTTTGTGGGGAAGGTGAACTCTGGCTAGGTAACAGGATGAGATTCAAAGTGAACAAAAGATAGCTTTTAGGCACGACCAGGCTTTTCCTGTTTCCTGTCTTTCTGACTTGGATCCCACAGGAAGTACACCCTCCCGCTCCCCTCGTGCCATGCCCACAGCCCAGTGGAGACCTGGACGAGGAGACCCTGCAGCACCCGTCCCTGCTGGCCTCCAGGCTGGGACCCAGCGTGTAACCACTGCTTCTCTGGTTTCTGGACGCGGTCCCCAGTTCTGGAAGGGTGATGTCTGAGCCCAGCTCAGTTCTTACAGCTCCCGGAACCCTACACAGCGAGCTGCCACATGTCAAGTGTTCGTCTCTCTTATGCACAGACCATGTTTTTCTTCTTTTTTTGTAAGAAACTGTTCTACTTCCTGGTTCTAGCTTGTGCTTTCACAATAGACTTAGACGAGTCTTTTTTTTTTTTTTTTAAATAAGTGAGAAAAAGAAAATCATTGTAAAGATAAAGAATGTGAAAAGCCTTCTCCAGGCAGCAGGAATGCTCAGGCTTATTAAAGGAGCCAGGGTGAGGGAGGGCTTTCCCCAAACCGGAAGCCCCTCTCATGTCATAACCTGGAGCACAATTCACAAACTGCGCCTCTCTGCGGACCTGCTGCGGCTGCCGGCCTCTGGGCTCCTTGCAGGAAGGCTCCATATCACCATTCACATTCAAGTGTCAGGGAGGAGCTAGAGAGGAAGAGGAAGCTGAGGAGAGGGTTCCTCCACAAAACTGGCCACACCTGAGTATTTGCATAACGGAACCTCCCCTGAGCAGTGAAACAGAAAGACAAAATTGGGGGTGCACGGCCCCAGAGGGCACTGAGACATTGGTCAGGTAGTCCCAGATCAGGATGTCTTTGGCAGAAAATAAGCCAGTGGGTAGGGTGGAGCTTTGGCCTGGCTTCCCTCCATTTCATTCAGAAGCTGGTAATCACACCCTGGGGAGCCGCACCCAGAGTCATTCCAGAGCCTACATATGGAACCCCACCCCTGACCAACGGTGGGAGAGCCTCGTGGGCAAAGTGGGGGGTCCAGCACTCAAAAGACACGAGTTCTATTTTATTTTAACACTCCTTTTAAAATGTCTTTCATTTAACGCTAAATTTGTTAATGTTTTAAAATTCACTTATATTGCCAACACTAAAATAAAGGGTGTATTTTTGACAATCTTTTTACACATTGCATTATAATATATGTATGTACATATTCCAAATCTTTTTCTTTGTTTCCACAGCAAAAGACACGAGCTTTAGTCCCTGCTCTGTCACTTACTCGCTGTGTGTCCTTGTGCAAATTAATCTAATTTCTCTGAGCCTTAGTTTTCTAATCTGCAAAATCGAGGTCATAAGATCCACTTAATAAGATGCGGGGATTACAGGACAAAAGTAAACGCGTAGCCCACAGTAAGAAGTGGCTGCTGTTGCTGCCCAGCTCCACCCTGGCAGCAGGAAGTTGGATGCTGAACATATACATGGGGCTCACTGTGATCCGGGCACTGTCCTGAGCCTTTTACAGATGTTAATTCCCTCATTCCTCATGACACCTAATGAAAGCAACAACTACTATTACCATCCTCATTTTAAAATATGTTTTTATTGGGTTTTTTAGAGAGAGAGGAAGGGAGAGAGAGAGATAGAAACATTGATGTGAGAGAGACACATCAATTGGCTGCCTCCTGCACGCCCTCTACTGGGGGTCAAGTCTGCAACCCAGGCATGTGCCCCAAACGGTAATCTAACTGGGACCTCTCAGTCCACGGGACAACACTCAATCCACTGAGCCACACTGGCTGGGCAGTATCCTCATTTTATACGTGAGGAAGAAATCAGGGCACAGAGAGGTTTCCTAATTTGCCCAAGATCACAGAGCATACTAGTGAGTGGCAGAACACAACGGTCCAGGGAGCTGTGGTTGCCCTGCCGTAGTCTCTGGTGGCAGAGGGGAACAGGACGTCTTTCCTCCGCTACACAGCCACGGCTCAGCAACACGGGCTGAGTCCTGGGCTGGTCCTGGGGGTGTGTGGGGGCCAGATACACTCCTCAAGGAGTTTCCAGTCAAAAGGGCAGACAGTTGCAAACCAAGACCACCACAACCAAATAAGCAGGGACAGGACAACATTTCTGGGGAGGAGTGTGCAGAGGAATTTCTGAAACCACGGAGCACCACTCAGACCTGGAGGAAGAAGACCTCCATTCTGTCATTAGCCTGGGCATTAATAAGAAGAGAATACTCTTCTTTACAGACGCCAGGCCCTGTGTCGCTCTGTAATGAAAACTGGAGTCAGAAGCCTCTTATTCCTGGTAATAAAAAATGCCAGGACTCCTTATTACTACAGGTCTAAAATGCTCCATTCATACAACACAGAAGGTCCTACAGACCAGTCAGTCCATAAAGTTGCCCTCTGTTAAGCCAGTTCAGGGGGGACGAGGGTCTCTACAGTCATGCTCTTCTTCACCCAGCAGGGGTGACCATGCCGCTGAGCCTCGGGCCACCCCACCTCTCCCAATACAAGGCTGGCACTCAGAACTGGCCGGTGGCACCAACAGCCCCTTCACTGCATAACCTCTGAGGAGGGAAAGCAGTTATTGTCTGGATGGTGAAGCTCTGTTCTTGCCTTCATACCAATACTCGACATGTTACTTCCCTCCAAAAAAAGTTAAGGAAAGACTGAACTTCTATACTACCAAGAAAGGAAAGGACTTGCCTTTAAAAATAAGGAGGTGCCTTAGGAAGAACCTGATTGCTGACCAGGTTGCAGGAAAGAGCCCAGTTCCACTATGTTAGCTACGAAAGCCTGCAGTATGCTGGCCAGGCAGGCTCCCCGCTAGAGCCTGGGCACTTCATCAGAGCTTCCTACTCTTTAATTATGCCCTCCCAGGTGAGATCAACGGAAAGGGTGAGGGTTTCCCATTGTACTTGGACTAAACTTCTTATCAAGGAGCACAAGACCAGCCTGATCTAATGCTTCGGTCATGGGCCTTACAGATAGAGGGCCTTTGTCCTGGCTCTCACCCAGCTCCACACATAGCTAGTCCTTCACACCCATTAAGTATCAGCTATAATGTCACCTCCTCCAAGAAACCTTCCCTAACTACCCCATCTGAAAAAGGACTCTCTCTCCCCACTGCACCCCACCCACACACCTTTTCTTTCCCCCCCTCTCTCAACTCCTATTCATCTCCTTCAGAGCACCTGGTCTGGGCCTGGGCTTCTTGGTCCTCAGATCCACTCCCCACCCTCCCCTGTGTGTCCAGCTATGCGTCAGCTGGCTTCTGGCTAGGTTTGGCCAATGGCAACCACTGGGGGAAACCGGAAGGTACCAGGAGGATTAAAGCCAGTTATCTCCTATGTCTATCTCTGCCTTGGGAGGCATCTCTTTTCCTCCTTGGTTCAGTGTTCATCTGAAAGGGCACCGCAGTTCCAGCTTCCCCACCTGGGCTCCAGCATCGCCACCTCTTTTCACGCACTGCAGCTTACAGTGGTGGCTGCTTCCTGCGTGTCCGATCTCCGAGCTGCCTCTCTCCCCTGCGTGTCTTCTCGGTTCTCTGCCACCTCTGTAACTGACTTCTTGCATTAAAATTCTATTTCTGATACTCAAGTGGTTTCTGTTTTTCTGATTACACCCTGGCTGACACAGCACATAATTTAGCATTTTTTAATTAATTCGCCCAGTTACCTAATTATTGTCTAGACCGACTGTAAACGCTGTAGAGCAGGGCCGGCATCTGCCCTGTTCATTATCACATCCCATTGCCGAGCACAGAGCCTGGTAAATAGTGAACTGAGCTCATTAGTAATTCAAACTACTTGGCAAGGGATGAAAAGAAAGTGAAGTTGATATTCCCAAGAGATCCCGAAATTTCCAAAAAGAAAATGGAAATTTCATTTGGAAATGGTGTATATTTACGTACGTGACTCCTTATTAAAACAACAGCAAGGAGAGAGGGTATTTTAAATCTTTTCAGTCAAACAGAGGCACTGAAGTGTCCTTGAAGAAATAAGTGGTGGTCGAGTGGTTTGGGAAAGACATAAACTCAGCTCCCAGGGACAGGCCAGGTCCCATGAGCCACCTCAGCTCAGGACGAACGCCCACAACTGTGCACACAACAGAGGAGTAGTGGGGACAAACCTTTTCACGGTCTCCATGGACTCCTGCTCCGCCAGCTCCTTCTGCAGCTCCCTCTCCTTGGCCTCCTTCTGGCCGATGGGGCAGTCCTCGGGGACGGTGAAGAGGGACAGGGCATCTTTGCTGTCCTCTTCTCGGAGCACTTTAGCAAACACCTTCTCGGCCAGGAGCCGGACTTGCTCGTCCACCTCAGAGATGCTCAGCTTGGGGAACTGGCGCGGCATCTCGGCTAGCGGAAAAAGAACAAGCATTAACCTTCGTGAATGACTCGATGGCCTGAGTCACCATGTGGGGGAGGACGAGGTACTGAAATAAGGGCCAGGGCCCCTGTCCTTGGGTCAGCTGTCTCCTCAGGATTTTCCACTACAAAAACCCAGCGTGTCAATTTTTAAAACTAGTTCAACAAGTAACCGGATGTGAACAGTGTAGGGCCACTTACGTTTCATGAGAAAGCAAGTGATCAGAAGTCAAAGAATGAACTGACTCATGAGCTTCCGTTTGCCTGAGCTCGGGAAAGGTGCAGCACCCCAGCAGCCCCGCCTCTTAGCTTTGTTTGGTGATGGAGAGAGGAAAGGAGAGGTCAGCGCCCTCCTCGTGCAGACTCTGAGGAGACCATCCCATGTGCAGCAGCGGTCAAACCTCACTCCCACTGCAAGGAGGGAAGGCCAAAGCCCAAAGGGTTTGATCGTAAGGTCCTATGAGATGACAGCAGAGCCCTGGGGAGTCCCAGGCTGCATCTCCATCACATAAAACAAGGCCTTGTGCTGAAAAGAAAGAATTTGCAATCATGGTTCCACAGTCTTCCAAGACCTCTGGAACTTTTTCTTTTTTTCTTTATTGATTTTAGAGAGAGAGGAAGGGAGAGGGAGAGCGAGATGGAAACATCGATGAGAGAGAACATGGATTGGCCGCCTCCTGGATGCCCCCCACTGGAGATTTGGCCCACAACCTGGACGTGTGCTTTGACTAGAAATCGAACTGGCGACCTCTTGGTGCATGGGTTGACGCTCAACCACTGAGCCACACTGGCCGGGCGCCCTCTGGAAATTTTAATAAGACACAGCAAATAAAATATAGTAGTCCCCCCTTTATCCATGGGGAATACGTTGCAAGACCAATGGATGCCTAAAACCCCAGATAATACTGAACCCTAGATATACCATGATATTTTTATATATATGATAAAGTTTAATTTATAAATTAGGCAGAGTGGGAGATTAACAATAACAATAACATTGTAACAATATACTGTAATAAAAGTGATGTGAATAAACATTATGTGAACGGCTTTGGGGCCACCATTAAGTAAAATAAGGGTTCCTTGAACACAAGCACCGTAAGACAGTCGATCTGATGACAGAGATGGCTAAGTGACTGGTGGGCAGGAAGAGTCTATGGCATGGGGACACTGGATAAAGGGATGATTCATGTCCCAGGTGGGACGGAGCAGGCCAGCACGAGACTTCACCACCCTACCCAGAGTGGCATGCAATTTCAAACATATGAATTGACCCAGCCAGTTTGGCTGAGCGTCGTCCCACGCACCACGAGGTCTCCAGTTCAATTCCCGGTCAGGGCACATGCATGGGGTTGCAGGCTCGATCCCCACCCAGTAGGGAGCATACTGGAGGCAGCCAACAGATATTTCTCTCTCATCAATGCTTCTCTCTCTCTCCGTTTCCTTTCCTCTCTCTCTAAAAACCAATATAAACATATTTTTTTAAATGTATAAATCGTTTATTTCTGGAACTTTCTATTTAATATCTCCATGCCGCAGGCAACCACGGGTAACTGAAACCACAGAAAGTAAAACTGCAGATAAGGGGGGACTACTGTACAGGTTTGGACACTACCTTTCACAGCCCAGCTGCAAAGTCACTTCCTGAAACAAGCTTGCCCTTAACCAGCTCTCTGCATCCTGGTTACTAAATCACCTGGCTGGTTCCTTTCTTTTCTGTTTTTCTGCCTGTCTATCATTTTTACACTTACATAGCACTTGTTATGTGCATTCTGCCTTTATACTTATTAACTCAGTTAATCCTGTTGTTGCCATTTCACAGATGATGAAATGAAGGCACAGAGAGCTCATTTGCCAGGGTCACACTTTTAGTAAGTGAGCAGAGACTTACGTAGTTCTCAGCCTCGGCTCCCCTGTCCCGTTCCTCTCTGAGCCTCTGCTCAGGGATTTGAACCCAGCAGTTGGTTCCACTTTTACACTTAGCCCCTACACTGTGCTGCTTCTCTCTGTCCATCTGGGTGTCAGGGAAGGTGCCCCCACTGTCCCCAGCCTCACACTTATGGAATTGGTGAATACTGCATCTTTTCAACCTCCTCAGGAGCGGCTCTGGGAGCAGAGCTTCCTGTCCACCCATGGTTTCTTTAGGGAAGGTTTAAAGAGAGAAGTGGCTTTGTCAGCCCAACAGTTGAGGATGAAGGTGAGACAGTGCCCAATTGCTGTCTGGCAGGGAGAGGAAGCAATTACAGGGGAGGAGGGACTCGCTGAGCAACCTTGGGACAGTCATTCCCTGCATCTCACCATTTTCTCAGCTATGAGATAAAGACACCAGACTAAGTGGTCCCCAAGGCCCTCTCAGTCCTAAGTGCCATAATTCTAGGTACCAAAGAGGTTTCCAGTGCCCAGGAGGCTTGCTGCTTGGGTCTTCTCTGCAGCACATGGGTCTAATTCAAGACACAGACAGGAAGGAGGAAAGCAGACTGGTAACGGGCAGTCAAAGAACATCTGTGGTCCCTTAACTGCTGAACCAATTTCCTCCTTCCCTCCACAGCAGGATCCCTTTCCTGGGCTTCGCTCACCCTCAGGGGGTTGAGTGGACAGATGCACCTGTCACTGTGCTAGTCTATGGGGGCCGAGACCAAGACGACAGCAAAGGCCTGGCTGCAAAGAGGAAGAACAGAGCTGACGGGAGATTGCCACATCCTGATAGCAGAAAGAAGAGGACGCTGGGAACCATCAGAGCGGAGGCTGGGAGAAGAAGGTGACAGGGGAGAGAAACGGAAAGAAAGACAGAGAGCTAGCCCCAGGAGGAGCTGTTAGGTCAGAGCGAATCTGGACCTTCACATCCCCAGTCTAATGCCACAGGTCAAGGGCAGCATTCCAAAAGCTCACGTTGTATCTCAGAAGCAGACATCCAAGAGGCCCAGGCAAGGAGCAGCAAATGCCAGGAAGCATCCATACCATTTAACATTCTCTAGAAACTGCTCCTAAGAATCTGAAGGAAGAAAAAGGCACAGCAAGGTTTATGCGCATAGCTTTAAAATGTCCAAATGAGAGCCGGCTCGCTTGAAAAAACTGTTCAGCAACCAAAATTGTCATTCAGAGAGCAGTGCAACCCCGTCAAAAGATCTGACAAAATAACAGAAAGTGAAAAGATGAATACATAAAACGATACCCATGCTCTGACTACAATGGTAGGAACGTACATCGCCTTGTGGACAAGGCTGTAAGAGACACACATTCGAATGACCAGACGGCAGGATTGCCTGTGTGAGGGGCAATGTGTGATCTGGATCATTAGTGCTGTTATACTGTCATTTTAACAAACACAAAGGAGACAGAAAGGGATTGATGAATTTATAAATAAAAAAATAAAGAGAGAGAAAAATAGAAAAGCAAACTTCAACATCCCAGGTTTTGGGGTTAGAGTCCTCCCCCACCTAACTCACCCCAGAGAGACCAGCCCGAAGGGAATTCTACCGGTGAGACCCATCTCTGCAGTAGCTCTTACCCTGGACAGAAGCTACCCACCACCACCTTCCTATCCCCATGCCTTACTCCCACAAACACACACAAGCCTAATCCTGCCACACCTCCCCAGACCCCTCAGAAATGGGCATTTGGGGGTCCTTCGTGTATGAGGGCTCTGATGTGAGACCCTGCCATGTCCTTCCATGAAGCATTTGTAGCTTGCTCAAGTCACCTAAACATGCCTTTCAAGATGCAGCTCTCTACACAAATCTGCCTCTTTCTTTAGCTTAAATAGCTTAAATTAGCCTTTTTCAAACTGGAGCCCATACGTTGACCTATTGCTGGTAAAATAGGTCCTATAGACAAATATGAGGGAAATGCTACATTCCATAGCTCCTCAACCCAGATTCACAAGGCACATCAAAGGCTCAAGGGTCAGAGTAGCATTTCCCCACAGCTCCCCCTCCTTCTGACCCCCCCCCTTTTTTTTTACAGAACCACTATGAATCTCCTGCAGAACTACTACCAATGTCTTAAATAATTGGTGAAGGCTTCATGACATGCCTTACTGTAAACCAAGGAACCCAGCTAGGGTGCTGGGCTGCGTCAGTGGTCCTCAGGAGCCTCCTGTACTCCTGCTGTCTTCTGGATATCCTGGGCAGAGTTCCCACCTGCCAACTCCTCCCTCCATCCTCGCCTCTTCTCAGCCCCAGACGCGGCCGCATGCTGAGGAAAGTCCACTCTGCAGATGCAAAGCAGAGCGCCAGCTCCAGCTGCTTGTTCAAGCCTGGCTTTCAACTTTCTGCCAGCTACAGCCAGCAGGCGTGGGAGGCTTCAGTGAATTCACCGGCATCAGCCGGTGATGCAGCCCAGCTCACCGTTACATACAACGCCCTGCCAGGAGCCCACAGAAGCACCCCTGAGTTAGAAAGCTGTAAAATGCCAATTTCAGCAAACGGTAATGCTTATGGCAGCACAGTCCCTCCAGAAAGGAAGTATAGTGCCACTTAAATCCCCTCCTTTCATAAATGAAGCTGCTTCCTGCTCTTGCCAGCCTCCCACTGTCAGAACCCACGACACAGACCTGATCCTGGCACTGGAGTCTCCATGGCTGCTCCTGAAGATGCCACACAGGCCACGTACACAGGCCAGGGGCTGCAAACTGCCCAGAGGCTGAGCTGAGTCAGTGTAAGTGCAGCTAGCTGGCTCCTATCTGCACTGCTGGGGTGGGAGGTCTCTGCTTTGCATATCTGTGATCAGCCTTCAGCAAGAGCAGGAAAAGTCTGGCCTGGAAATTCTCCCGTGAATATGAAATGTAAGTGGAAAATTTCCAAGAGTCCTAAAGGGCTCGGGTCATGCCAATCATCCACGGCTGCTAGATCCTGAATGCAGTGTCCTGGCCCTGTTCACAGCCCTCTCCAGAGCAAGCCGCTAAAACCACTGCTGCCCCAACGCAACAGTACATTCAGCCTTCCTGACCGACCACAGAAGATAAGCACAGCCTCCCTCCACCACCCAGGCCCCTCCCCACAGCTGAGCAGTAACACGGCTCTGCTGCCTCCTCGAAGAAGGCCCCACCAAAACAACCCTCCTCGGGGCACTGGAGGACTGGCAGGGGGAGCTCTGAGCCCAGTTGCCAACAGGAGTTTCTCCCGCCCCTCCTCCTCTAAGAGAGGGAAGGTCTATGAACTGCTCCCTCTTTTCCCAGGAAAGTACAGGCTCAGAAAGAGGGGATACTGAAGCAGGAGCAGCTCGGATGAAAAGCTGGCATACCTTGTTCCGCTCCTTCCATTCTTGCCTCAAGGAACCTATGCATCACAGGTGACTGGGCAGCCTGACAGACTCTACCAGAGTGTGACTGCATGGACGCACGTACGTGTACACACACACACAAGGTATGTCCTGCCCCGCCCACCTGAGCCCATCCTCCCACCCTCTCCTTACTGCCGCTCATGGCTCCCTCGTGGGCCTCCAGCTCTGAGAAGCCTCCCGGGCCCCGGGTGGACTCAATCACCCTGCTACCAACAGCTGCCGCTCCCCCTGGGGAAGTCAGGGCTGCCTCCAGGGACTCAAAGAAACAGTCCTCTGAGAGCAAGCAGGGTGGACTACAGCAGAATCACAGGGGGCAAAGCTCCACTCGTGATCTGCCCTTTGGAAGGACAGCCCTGTGTGGGGAAGCTCGGAACAGACACACAGCCTCCCAGTGACTTAGATGAGTGGCATGGGTCTGGGAAATAACCGTGAGCAAAATGGCTATTTCTGTGGTGCTGTTGAAATCCTGAGGAGAAGAGCCCAGAAAGGATGGGTCAGTTGTTTACAGGGAGGCTGGCTCTAGCCCTCATTTGGGCCTGAGTCACCTTCTCATATCCAATCGTGAGGTTGAGTCTTCCTGAGCCCACATAATAATTCCTGTGCGTACAGAGCAGGATTACATGGTTGACACACGATCCTTGGGCCACTGCTGGGCTTCAGCTACCCAGAGATTATGACCCACCTGTCCTCACAGCTGTTTCATAAGCAGTGCAACCAGCAGACTGCAAGCAACCTAGAGGGAGGATAATATTTATTCATTAAATAATTAAACGTACTTAAATCATAGAGAAAAAGAATTCAAACCCTTCGTACTATTCTGCCAGAAGGGAGAAGGGGCAAAGGATTCCTTCTGCTGGTGTGTTTTTGGGGAGGGGGAAGTAGAGGGGCTGCAATGGGAGCATCCTAGCCCATGGATCTGAGAAACTGCCTGGACTCGATACAGTCAGGGAATTTCATTCTGCACCTTGAAACACACTATGGTTAACTTTAGTCTAAACACGCATATTCCAAGTTGTAGTCTGCAGAACATAAAAGGTCGGAAGGCTGGGAAAATACTGCATGCCATAGTCCCTTATGGGGACTCATGGACAATTCCTATTGGCGGACTCTAAACATCCAAGAAGCCCTGCGGTAAAGAAAGTTGCTTAACTTCGTTTAACCCAGCAGACTTATTTGACCTCCCACCCCTGCCATCAAAGGAAAAAACACCTATTAATATCCCGTGGCCTGGGCTTTGGAAAATGCCTTCCACTATGAGCCTTCATTTTCCAGCCTACAGAAAGCTGCCTTCCTGGGGCCCAGCTATGGGTGTGAGACCCACTCCATCAGGTCCAGATGGAGACAGGCAGTACCGCCACTAACATGACACAGGATGGGACAATGGGCAAGAAGAGTCTCGCTGGAGCCAAAGGAATTCAAGACCCTCAAGGAGAGTAGCAGTTGAAGAGGAAACTGTGGCTCTGTCTCAGGAGGGCAAGCGTCACTTAGGACCTCAAAATTCCACCTGAAACCTAACATGTCACTGTTCCTCATGGCCTAGAAGTCTCCTTGGACTGAGAAGCACTGGTCCCCAGCTCAAAGCCCTACTTTCCTTCCAAAGAAACACTAAGACAGTCTACGATAACCAGGCCCAGGCCCTGTATGCCCTGCCCAGGAGACCACACTACATTCTCTTTTATCACTTAAGTGTCCCTTCTAAACACACAGAAATAAGAAAGGCTGGAATCAAATGATGTCCTATTAAGAAAAGTATGTCCCCTCCCCAAAAGGATCCTGTGGGCTTGCCTATAGGGGTTCACTTTCTATTTCATTTACTGTACATGAATCACATGGGAGTTGGGCTAAGGGGCTTCACCCACTTTATCAGCTCCATGACAGACCTTGCCCATTTCATTCACTACTGTGTCCCCAAGCCTGGATCATAGTAAGCATGAGTAAATATTTTATGAATGCATGAACACATAAAATAATAAATGAGTGGATGAGCTAATGATTCATCTATTTATAGCATGCTCAGACTCAGTACAATGTATGGTTTAAAACATGGACTCTAGCCAGACTACCTAGGTCTGAATCCTGTTCCACCACTTAGTTTCATAACCTTGGTAAGTGACTAAACTTCTCTGGCTCAGTTTTATTCCCTATTAAATGGGGTTAATAATAGTACTGACCTCATAAGTTGTCATGACAATCAAAGTAGTTAGCATATGCAAAGTGCTCAGAAGAGTACCTGGCAAATCTCTGTGCTTTATAAGGGTTATCTATCAACATCCTTGTCATCATGACATCAGGTACAAGAGAGTCCAACTGAGAAAATGAACATAAATTTTCATCTAGACACTGAATCCTTTTATTCAACAATACTTACGGAGTACTACTGTGTGCCAGACTATCTCTCAAGCTCCCACTTGGGTGCAAGGAGAAGAAAACCATGTTTAAATGTGAAACCAGAGCAGGAGAAATAGCTTTCTCTATGAATGATATTTCTTGCTGAGAGTGCATGGCTAATACTCCAGCCATGAGCCCAGCCTCTTATGCCCTAGCCCCTCGTACATCAAGGCCCAAAGCCATGGTCTCCTGTCCTAGATATGGAGCTAGCACACAGGAGAACTAAGAGATTAGTATACTGGGGTGGCGGGGAGAACCAGGAAGCCCACTGAATAGCTTTAAGGAAGAAAATCCTGCTTTTCTCTAAGGCTATTTTTTTTTTTCCCGTAATATTTTCAAGATCTGGATTAATTCTACAGCCATCTGAAAATTAATTTACCTAGTGTCACGACAAAAGAAATAGGCCTTATGTCACACCATTTCTTGACCTCGCTGAGATCTACTCACCCCTTATCCGGAATCTCAGAAGGACTGAGGTGGAGCTGAGAGAGGGGCTGAGAGGCCCCCGAACCTTCCAGCAGCCACCTCGGCAAGCCCTACCTTCATCTTCAGAGCAAGCCAGCCCCTCGGATCTGCAGCCAGCCCAGGCTAACTACTCCAAACCTGCCATCAGCGCTCAGAGAGGTGAAGCTGACAGGGGCTCTGTCTGCCTGGCTCCATGGCTTGAGGACCACTCAGCACTGATGCTTCACAGCCAGAGGAGGAATTTTTCCTAGAAGGGTTCCAGCTGCAGCCAGCTTTTCCCTGAAGATGGACAAATGTTGGTCACCACATCCAGGGGGAGAGCCAGGAAGGGGGCAGGACCATGCTAAAGTCCCCCTAGTGCTTCCAGCTTTCACCATCGCTTCTTTGCCAATTTGTTATCACCAAGCTTCCGAACACATCAAGGACCTAACAGCCTGAGGAAATGACACTCTAGTTAGCAAGCCTCTCCTACTCCAGGCGCTCTCAAAACTCACCCCAGAGCCTTTCTCCAGCCAAGACAAGCCATTAGCAGCTCCCCTAGCAAAGCAGCTACCGGGAAGTTCAAGGGCAGAAAGCAGACTGCCAGAGCCCAGTACACTTCCCTCGCCAGGAGAGAGCCAAAGAGGTAAGGATGAAGGCCTCAAACGACCCCATCACCTGTCATCCTGTCCTCCCTGCCTCCAGGTAGAAGTCCATCTCCACAGTAGTCATCCTGCCGGTCCTCAAGCACCTAGAAACCTGTCCCAGCGCTTAAGTGGCGGTTAAGGTCCCTTAATATTTCTAAACCTTGTGAACCCAGCTTAGGCCACCAGGGAGCTGAGATGCGGCTGGCTCACCTGAGGCCTCAGGAGCCCAGGCCACCGCAGGCAGGGGCAGGAGCACAGACGAGGGCCCGGGAGGGGAGGAGCCCGGTCGGCGGTGGCGCCTCGGAGCCGAGGTCCCGTCCCCCGGGCACCCCACTCCCGCCCCGGGCGGCGCGGTTCGCGGGGCGCGAACCCAAGGTCAGCAGCGCAGCACTGCGCGCACTCACCGGGCTCAGGGCACAGGGCCATGCCGTGGGGGCGGCCCGAGGGCCGGAGCGCAGGTGGCGGCGCCGGGCAGAGCGCACCGTGAGCACCGCGGGCGGGGGACTGGCCGGCCCCGCAGCCGGCCCGGCGGGATCCCGGCCAGGCCGCGCCTCCCGCCCGCGCTCGGCCGGAGCCCGCGGTGCAGCCCGCAGCAGGGGCGGGAGCCGAGCGTTCCCGGGGCGCAGCGCTGCGGAGCCCCAGAGCCCCGGCGCCCGGCCCGCGCAGAGGCAGGAGGAGCCGCCTCCGCAGGAAAGAAGCCCGCGAGCCGCGCGCCGCGTCAGTCGGTGCCCCAGCTGGGCGAGGAGGGGCGCGGAGCTGGCAGCCGAGGGCCGGCCCCGCCGCCACTCAGGTCTTCCCTGCCCGCAGCCCGCCGCCCAGGCCTGCCCGCAGCTACCTGAGCTCGGGGCCGCGCTGCCACGGAAACCTGAGCCGCCCGGCGCGGCGGCCGCTCTGTCTGCCGGAAGCGCGCCCGCTTCCCTCGGGGTCAGGCCCGCCAGGCTCCGCGGATCTCGCCGCCGCCGCCCGCGGGCCGAGGTTTCCCGAACCTCCGCCCACGTTGGGACTTCTCGCAAGGTGAGATTCCGAGGTCACAGCTCTCAAACAGGTGCCTTGCTTCCTGTAGCTCAACTCACACACACACACCCTCTCCAGCCCCCTGCTCTCTAGTTTGTAAACACACACACACACACACACACACACCCTCTC